ATCCTTATTTCAGCGAATTAAGCACTTCAGAAGGCTAAAATCTCAACTTCACCAAATTACTCAACTTTTGATGTTGTTTTGATTAACATGCTTACTTCAGCAAGTTGAGCTCTTCAGACCACCAAAACCTGAAGTTCACCAAATGACTGTACTTTTGATGATGGTTTGACTAACATGCTTATTTGATTGAGAGAAGCATTTCAGAAGTCAAAAATCTCGACTTCACCAAATGACTCAACGTATGATGTTGTTTTGAGTAATGTGCATATTTGAGCGAGATAAGAACTTCAGAAGGCCAAAATAAGAACTTCACCAACTGACTCAAGTTTTGATGTTGGTGAGACGAACATGCTTACTTGAGTGAGACAAGCACTTCAGAAGTCAAAAATCTCAACTTCACCAAAGGACCTAACTTTGGACGCTTTTTGGACTAAAATGCTTTTGAGATAAGCACTTCTGAAATCAAAAATGTAAACTTCACCATCTGACTTAAATTTTGATCCTGTTTTGACTAACATGCTTAGTTCACTCAGATAAGGACTTCAGAAGACCAATATTTCACTTCATCGGAAATGTTAGATTTTGATGTTGGTTTGAATGACATGATTATTTCATGCGGTAAGCAGTTCAGAAGATCAAAATCTCAACTTCACCAAATGACTCAACTTTTGATATTGGTTTGACTAACTTGCTTATTTCAGCGATTTAAGCACTTCAGAAGATCAAAATCTCAACTTCACCAAATGAGTCAACTTTTGATGCTGGTTGGTTTAAACTGCTTATTTCAGCGAGTTAAGATCTTCAGAACACCAAATCCTTAACTTCACCAAATGACTCTAGTTTTGATGATGGTTTGACTAACATGCTTATTTCAGCGAGTTAAGCAGTTCAGAAGGCAAAAATCTCAACTTAACCAAATGATTTAATTCTTAATTCTGTTTGAATTAAAATGCTTATTTCAGCAAGATTAGCACTTCAGAAGGCAAAAATCTGAACTTCACCAAATGACCCAATTTTTGATGTTAGTTTGACTAACACGCTCATTTCAGCGAGTTAAGCACTTCAGAAGATCAAGATCTCAACTTCACCAAATTACACAACTTTTGATGTTGTTTTGACTAACGTGCTTATGTCAGCGAGATAAGCATAGCAGAAGACCAAAATCTCAACTTCAACAAGACACTCAACTTTTTATGCTGTTTTGACTAAAATGCTTATTTCAGTGAAATAAGCACTTCAGAAGACCAAAATCTGAACTTCATTAAATGACTCAAATTTTGATGTTGGTTTGACGAACAGGCTTCCTCCAGTGAAATAAGCACTTCGGAAGTGAAGAATCTCGACTTCACCAAATGACTCAACTTCTGATGTTGTTTTGACTAACAAGCATAATTGAGCGAGATCAGCACTTCAGAAGGCCAAAATAAGAACTTCACCAAATGACTCAAGTTTTGATGTTGGTTTGACTAACTTGCTTATTTCAGCGAGATTAGCACTTCAGAAGACCGAAATCTTAACTTCACAAAATGACTCAAGTTTTGATGTTTGTTTGGCTATCATGATTATTTGAGTGAGATAACACTTCAGAAGTCAAAAATCTCAACTTCACCAGATGACTTAATTATTGATGTTGTTTTGACTGAGACACTTTTTCACTCAAATAAGCACATCGGAAGACAAAATTCGCAACTTCACCAAATTACTCAAGTTTTGATGTTAGTTTGACTAACATGCTCATTTCAGCGAGTTAAGTATTTCAGAAGAGCAAAATCTCAACTTGAGCAAATGACTCAACTTTTGATGTTGTTTTGACTAACGTGCTTATTTCAGCGAGATAAGCATAGCAGAAGACCAAAATCTGAACTTCTCCAAATGACCTAACTTTTGATGGTGGTTTGATTAACATGCTATTTCAGTGAGATAAGCGCTTCAGAAGGCTAAAATCTCAACTTCACCAAACGACTCAACTTTTGATGCTGGTTGGATTAAAATGGCTATTTACTCGAGATACGCACTTTAGAAGACCAAAATCTGAACTTCACAAACCAACTCAAGATTTGATGTTTGTTTGACTAACATGCTTATTTGATAAGCACTTCACATGTCAAAAATCTCATCTTCACCAAATGATTCAACTTTAGATGTTGTTTTGACTAACGTGCTTATTTCAGCGAGATAAGCATATCAGAAGTATAAAATCTCAAAGTCACCAAATCACCTAATTTTTGATGCTGGTTTGACTAACATGCTTATTTCAGGGAGTTATGCACTTCG